ATCAGGTTTTGCTTTCTCCTCCACTTAATGTCCTTTCTGTAATGCCGCGCTTCCTTTTGGCCAAATTGGTTCCTGACAGGATCCTCAGTGTGAATGCCAGCATCGACACTATTGGAGATATTCTACTAAAAATCATACCAACTCTGGAGGAGGTAAGGCACCATTTTAACTGCAGCTGAGAGAGATTGATGTCTTTTTTTAAAACTTTTTTTACCGGTTGGTTACAGAACCAGTAATAAGTCTTTATTTAATTGAACAGAAAATACCATTTGATCATTAAAGAATAGCCCCTAAAATCCCTTTAAAGATCTTTAAAGACTGCCTGGTTGAGTTCTTATTGATTTGGTGATACCATATACCAACAAACTAGGAAACACAGTATCTTAAGGTGGGGAAAAAAAAGTTATAGCATCTGAATCTTGAAGACATGATCAATGAATGAAAAACCTGCTTACAACTATATCTGAAATACTCCAAATCCATACTATGGAATATTTACATTCAAAATTACGTTAGCTAAGTTTAGGATTTTCATATAAATTAGGAAGACACAAAACCAGAAGCTATCTTGTTGATTCCACAGTAAACCAGTTTGAAAACTCTTTTCAGAGGAATGAATTGTGTTCACCCTTAAATGGGTCTTAGATCTATCTGCAACAATAAAGCGGCACTTATGTTTCTGATGTCACCTTCCTCCACAGTACCAGCATTACAGCGGGGTTGACTTTGACAGTGAGCTTCGCCTGCTCATCCACCAGAGCCTGGCAGGCGGCATCATCGGGGTGAAAGGGGCCAAGATAAAGGAGCTGAGAGAGGTATTACAAAGTCCAGATCCGTTCTGATGCTCAGCAAGAACCGTTCAAATATTAAAGATGATTTTTCTTCTCTTCGCCACTAGACTTAGACTTGTACTTTATTGATCCCTTGGGAAGACTTCCTCAGGAAATTAAAGATTAATCTAAAAAGATGTAACCGTAACACTATATTTTCTTCACTGATGGTTGGTTAAAAGTTGAAAGAATCCCTCTTTTTGCTCTCTAGAACACCCAGA